TTCTCCACTCATCTCCTTGATGCACTCCTTATATGAGATCAGACACTCCCCAGACCTGAACAGAACTCTTCTTTTTTAATTCTCAACCTCGAGGCCCCTCCTGGAGGAGCCTGAGCCTGGATCTCTGGCTCAGCCCTGCGCTGGGACCAACCTGGCTCTCTGCCTTGGACACTTTCCTCCTTGCCATTGGCGATTGGCACCTCCTTTCCTCCAGACTCCCAACAAACAGGCACCTTCAGCTCCTCTGTACTCCTCGTTCATTTCTCCTGACTTTGGCCAGGAGAAACATCTTGGGACATTGGCAAGGGCACTTCTCCAGTTCAAATCCCTGCTGTGCTCTCCCCGGTGACTGGCTGAGGTGTAATAAGTACCTGCTGTGCTTGCACATGCAGAGGGGGAGCTGCCTGGGGACGGAGGGCCTTCCTGAGTTTCCCAGCGAAGCCAGAGCCTGGACCAGCAGCCTGAAGCACTGTCGTTCCTCTGATGGATCACTGGTGGCTGCAGGCCTGGTTGACTCCAACATGGCCCTGAGCCTGGGGCCTTGGCAGGACAGGTTGCACGGCAGGTATCCCCTGAGTCTCATGGCTGCCTTTACCTGGCAGTTTGGTTCCCTGGATCCTGGGTATTTACTTACTCTGTGACTGAGGGATGGCCTGGGTGCCAGGCTTCATGGCCAGTGGGAGGGTGGCTGTCCTCAAGGGTGGGGGTGGGGAGGATGGAGACCAGGTGGTATCTGAAAAGCCAAGGACTTCTCACCCGGTCCTGTGTCCCTGGCACAGTGGACTGGAGAGACCAGACAGGCAGGTACAGGAGGATAGGGCTTCCTGGACTTTCTTCTGCGTTTGGATGGATCACTATGCTGGGACCGACCTATCTCAAGAATAACCAACTGGGCTGGGTGCGGAGGCTCCCAGCACTTTGGGAGGCTGAGGTGGGCGGATCACTTGAAGTCAGAAGTTCGAGACCAGCCTGGCCAAAATGGCGAAACCTCATCTCTACTAAAAATACAAAAATTAGCCAGATGTGGTGGCATATGCTTGTAATCCCAGCTACTCAGGAGGCTGAGGCAGAAGAATTGCTTGAACCCAGGAGGTGGAAGTTGCAGTGAGCTGAGATTGAGCCTGGGCAACACAGCAAGACTGTCTCAAATAAATAAATAAATAAATAAATAAATAAATAAATAAGTAAATAAATAACCAATTGATTGATGACTTTTTCTTTTTTCTTTTCTTTTCTTTTTTTTTTGAGACAGAGTCTCCTTTTGTCACCCAGGCTGGATTGCAGTGGTACAATCTCAGCTTACTATAGCCTTGACTACCCAGGCTTAAGTGATCCTCCCACCTCAGCCACCCAGATAGCTGGGACTACAGGCGCTAATTTTTGAATTTTTTTTTTTTTTTTTAGAAAAATACAAAACACGAGTTTTCACCATGCTGCCCAGGCTGGTCTCCAATTCCTGGGCTCAAGTCATCTGCCTGCCTTGGCCTCCCAAAATGCTGGGATTACAGGTGTGAGCCACTGCACCAGGCCAACTGATGGTCTTGAGACAATGTTCACAGCCAGGGTTTGAGCTAAGCCTGGTGAAGATGCTAGACTCTGCTGGAGCTTAGACAATCATACCCCAAAACCAAGGCCTCAGAAGGGAAAGTTTTTCTCTGATCTCCTGCCCGCCTATCTCTCAGTCCCATCTCCCCCAAGGCTAGCCATACAAACTCAATCCTTTCCCAAGGGGCCATAGAAACCAGAACCCATTCTCCCCAAAGCTAGGCAGAAAACCTAAAAGTGTTACTTGAATTTTCTCCCAGCCTTGTGTAAGAACTGGCCAGAACAAAATGATCTGATCTACCTTGTTTGCCGTCAGTCATGAGAGCCCCATTCCAGAGAAGACCTTGCCCCATGCCCCAGAGGAAGGAATGCTGCTCAGAGAGGCCGAGAAGAATCTAGACAGACAGGCCTTGCTGGGTTCCCCACACAGTCTGTCAGCATTAAATCTGACCCTTTTGTCCAGTCCTATTTCTACAAGGCTGTCCATCTTTGTTGAAACTAAGCATGAAGACAGTTTCCTCTGTACCTCTGGGTCTTCATTCTGAAGGCTCCCATGTGTATACATTAATGTGTACGCCTTTCTCCTATTAATCAATTTGCCTCATGTGAGTGTTCAGTGAACCTTTAGGGGACCAAGGGCCTTGGTCCCTACAACTTGCAGGCCCGGGCTCAACCAGACTGTCCCCAAACTCACAGCCAGAGCAGTCTCAGCTACTGCATGGTGATAGGAAATATACCTGCCCACTCTTCTTTCCAGCTCTAAACTTCCCTCTCAAAAGCCCCTATCAGGGGCTGTTGCTTGAAATTGGCTGTACTTAAAACAGTCTTCTCCAGTGATCACATTTATAAACCATTCTGAATACAATGGCCTAAGCCAAATCATAATGTATCCCAAAATGCTCCTGATGGTGACAGGTCTACTCATTCATGTGCTGGGAAGGATTTGAGAAGAAAAGACCTGCTCCTTGCCTCCAGGACCTAACCAAGAGCAGTGGATGTGTCAACAGAACTGCACTCGGCAGGATGAAGATGGGGACTCCGGCATGTGACTGTTTAGCATGTGCGGTTTCCACTCTTCAAGAGGGATCCCTATGGTCCACGACGGGCAACGTGAGCCACAATGCAAGGCCAGTGTGGGAGAGCATCCACAGATCCACAGATGAGTCCAGGTGACAGTGACTGTCTAGGAGGATGCCCTTGGGGTTTTGATGGGATGATTCTTTATTGTGTGGTCTGTCTTGTGCATTGCATTCTTGACCTTCACTAGTAGCCCACAGCATCCCCCAGTTACTGTGACAACCAGCAGTGCCCACACATTTCCCTGGGGACGGGAGGCTAGTTTTCACTGCTGCCCGGGGGATCCAGCTGCCAGGATCCACTGCAAGTCAGCGGCTTGAACCAGCTGAGAGTTCTCTCTCCTGGCCACTTGAGCATTCATTCTGGTGAGGAGGTGGTGATGGGGGAAAAAGGGGAGAAGCAGAGGGTGAGCACAGGTCCTGGCTGCAGACCCACAGCCAACTGGAGGGGGCATGTGCTGTTTTTAGCTGCCCAGTGTCCATTCCCAACCCTTTTGGTAACAGGTTACCCACACTGCAGTTGGAGAATCATTTTCTTCCCTGCTCCGTGCTCACGGTTTCTGTGGATTTTATCCTCATGTTCCAAAGGAGGCTGTGCAGCTCCAACCTGGCCAACCAGCCCCCTGCATTTTCCTGGGCACAGTGATGGCTACCAGGAGGGACACAGGACCTAGTCAGAGCTGTGATGCCTTTTGCTGCGGGGAGACGGGCCGGCTCACCCTCTCTGCTACACTTGACCTCTGTAGGCTGGGAGCTGTTGCTGCTGCAGCTAGAATGGAACTAACTCTGCTACAGAGAGGGAAACGGCCTGTGCCCCTGGAGCAAACCACATCTGAACCAGAACTCTCTCCTGACTTTTATAGGAGCTAATACATTCTCATTTTGCTTAAGCCTAGTTTGGGTTAGGTTGTCCAACATTTACAATAAAGGGGGACCTCAATACGCCAGAAAAAGGAAGTGTCTTCAGTCCAGAAGCTGCAGCCATGGAGTACCCAGTCCCTTCCACCATGTCTATAGGTCCTTTCATTGTCCCTGCAGGACAGGACCACAACATGACCCCACGCAACTCCCACACCTGTTTCACAAAGGAAATCCTGGGACTGGGGGGTGGAGAATGGGCTCCAGCCTGGCCCATCCTGCCCAATCACACCAGTGCTGTTGCGGGTAAACCAGCTCCTCGCCTCCCCAACGGCTGCCCTGCTGGGTCCCAGTCTAACTAATTCTTAGAGGCATAGCAGGTCACCTGGGCATGGGTCTGTGGATGCCTCACAGGCATTCAGCATTGTCCTCCCTCCACCCCTACACCATATGCCACTGTCACCGCTGTCAGCTGTCACTGTTCCAGTGCATGTGGGCTAACCCCCACCTCGCATCTGCATTTCTTTGCCTGGGGGCTTCCTCTCCAGAGTGGGACAAAAGTGTGGAGGAATTAACCACCTCCCTCCTCACAGCCTTTCTCCAAGACCAACAGGTTACAAATATCTCAGCTCCCTGTCAGGTGGGATGACTATGCTGTGTGGCGTGTGTTCTGCCTTCTCCCATCCCATGACGCCCCAGCAGGATCAGGCTTCAGCTGCCCTCAATGGCCACTGCATTAGGACTCACCAGTACTGGCTGTCCTCCCTTCTCTGGTGGTTCCTTTTTATTTTGTTTGAGACAGGGTCTTGCTATGTCGTCCAGGCTGGAGTGCAGAGGCTCAATCATAGCTCACTGCAGCCTTGACCTCCTGGGCTTAAGCCATCCTCCCGCCTTGGCCTCCCAAAGTCTTGGGATTATAGGCATAAGCCACCAAGCCCAGTCTCCTTCCCTCGTTTACACTCCTCTCCCCTACTGGTGTTTGCTGGGGTCACCTTGAACTAAGATTTCAAATCGGCTGTTCAGGAGCTGGAGGTAAAATCCCACCAGGCACTGGCTGGGTGTAGCCACATCACCAGCACTAACCACAAGGCTGCATGGCAGGCCACTCCCCATCACAGGTGACCCTAAAAGAACCTATTTCTACAGATGGTGTTCCTGGGCACAGGGCCTCTGTCCTCTGGGGTGCAGGCCTGGAGGCGAACCGGTACATTTCTCCTATTCCCACTAACTGGGATTACCCTGGGACACAGGTGCAGATGACTAATTACGTTAACTATTGAGTTAAGCTTTATAATCTTCCTTTAGAGTGAGAACATCTAAAGCAAACACTGTGTTCTGTGAGTGTGTGCAGAGAAAGCTGCTCCACCAGGGGTCTGTGGCTCTGAACAGGAATGACAGGCACCAATTCTGCTTGACCTGCGGCTCAAAACGTCACCGGGGTCCCCACACCTCCCTTCCTAGCCATTTGCCAAGTCCAGCTTTTATGTCTCTAAAGTAAAATGTGCTAAAGAAACAGAATTCTTTTTTTTTTCTTTTTTTAAATTTTAGTGACAAGACAGGTCCTTTGATGGAAACTGGATCTGTAAGAAAAACAAGGACAGACCAATCAGCTTAGACAATACCCCATGTGACCTGGAATCCTGTGGCTTTCCAGTTTCACAGCCTCACAGGTGAGGGTTCAGCAACTGTGATCCTTCTGTGGAGAAATAAATTATTTAGGATTCAAATTTCTTCCATTCCTTGCATCCACTCTTTCTTTCAGCCACACACCTAAGGCTGTAACGCCTTTTGCCAGGCGCCTGGCCAGGCTTGGCTCCTGCTCATCTCATTGGTGCCAGCGCCTTCCCCGGGTCCCCTGCAGCTATGATGGAGTCTCACCCCCCAAAAGCTACACTGCAGTGGTTTGACCACATTCAATGCCCAAAATGGCTGGGAAAGAAGTCCTTTGCTTTCAGGGCCTTATCCTCAGCTGAGGAAGATGCCAAGGGAGAGGTTCACCAAACTTTAGGAAAGAACATTCTAGAAGCATCTTTCCCCAAAGAGGAAAGACACCACTGTCGTCAGATGGTTCTTCGCTCCCTGGACAGTGAAGGATGTCAAACTGCCTGTTAATTAAGAGCTGAGCCTACAAGCTCAGCACGACTTAATGTACCCCCACGATGCACTCCCATCGCCCTCCCTCACCGTGACTCTCATACAGGTGCCCAGGAGGCTTTCATTGGCTAAAGTTCTTCCCTGGGCAGTTAAAAAGTAAGCTAATATTCTTTTTTTTTTTTTTTTTTTTTTTTTTTTTTTGAGACGGAATTTCGCTCTTGTTGCCCAGGCTGGAGTGCAATGGTACGATCTCAGCTCACTGCAACCGCCGCCTCCCGGGTTCAAGCGATTCTCCTGTCTCAGCCTTCCGAGTAGTTGGGATTACAGGCATGCACCACCATGCCCTGCTAATTTTGCATTTTTGGTGAGACAGAGTTTCTTCATGTTGGTCAGGCTGGTCTTGAACTCCTGACCTCAGGTGATCCACCCACCTCGGCCTCCCAAAGTCCTGGGATTACAGGTGTGAACCACTGTGCCTGGCCTATTTTTTAAAATTTTTTGAGACAGGGTCTTGCTCTTTTGCCCAGGCTGGAGTGCAGTGGTGTGATTTCGGCTCACTGCAAGCTCGGCTTCCTGGGTTCATGCCTTTCTCCTGCCTCAGCCTCCTGAGTAGCTGTGACTACAGGTGCCCGCCACCACGCGCAGCTAATTTTTTTGTATTTTTAGTAGAGACAGGGTTTCACCATGTTAGCCAGGATGGTATTGATCTCCTGACCTCGTGATCCGCCCGCCTCGGCCTCCCAAAGTGCTGGGATTACAAGCGTGAGCCACCGCACCTGGCCTTTTTTTTTTTTTCTTTCTTGAGACAGGGTCTCAAGAGTTCTGTCACCCAGACTGGAGTGCATTGGTGCAATTATGGCACATTGCAACCTCCAACTGCTGAGCTCATGCAATCCTTCCACCTCAGCCTCCCAAATAGCTGGGATTACAGGCGTGTGCCACCATGCCCGGTTAACTTTTTAATCTTTTTTCTTCTTCTCACTCTTTTTTTTTTTTTTTTTTTTTTTTCAAACTCCCAGGCTCAAGTTATCCTCCTGCCTGGGCCTCCCAAAGGTCTAGGATTACAGGTTTGAGCCACTATTCCCAGTCAAAAAGTAAGCAAATTTAAAGAAAAATATTAAGTGATTTTACAGGTATCAAAAGTCACTAATTTAACAAATAGTAATGATGATAATGATGATGATAATGGTGATGATGGCAACTACCTCCAAGGATGATGGTTGTAAAGATTGAGGGGATGTGCAGAATTGCCAGGTGCAGGGCCTGGTGATAGAGGTGGGTGGTGGTGATGATGGTGGTGGTGATGATGATGGTGATGACGGTGATAATGATGATGATGGTGATGGGGGTGGTGATGATGGTGATGATGATGATGGTGATGGTGATGATGGTGATGGTGATGTGATGATGGTGATGATGGTGATGGTGATGATGGTGGTGGTGATGATGATAGCGATGATGATGGTGGTGATGATGGTGGTGGTGATGATAATGGTGATGATGATGGTGATGGTGATGATGGTGGTGATGATGATAGTGATGATGATGATGGTGATGATGGTGGTGGTGATGATGATGATGGTGATGATGGTGATGATGATGGTGATGGTGGTGATAATGATGGTGGTGGTGATGATGGTGATGGTGATGATGATGGTGATGGTAATGATGGTGATAGTGGTGATGGTGATGGTGATGGTGGTGATGATGGTGATGGTGATGATGATGGTGGTAATGATGGTGATGGTGATTATGATGGTGATGGTGAGGATGATGATGTTGATGGTGGTGGTGATGATCGTGGTAATGCAGATGATGGAGATGATGATGGTGATGATGGTGGCAGTGATGAAGATGATGGTGACGATGATGGTGATGATGGTGATGGTGATGGTGACGATGATGGTGATGATGGTGATGGTGATGGTGGTGGTGATGATGGTGGTGGTGGTGATGATGATGGTGATGACGATGATGGTGATGGTGATGATGGTGATGGTGATGATGGTGGTGGTGATGATGGTGGTGGTGGTGATGATGATGGTGATGATGGTGATGATGGTGGTGGTGGTGATGATGGTGATGGTGGTGGTGATGATGGTGATGACGATGATGGTGATGGTGATGATGGTGATGGTGATGATGGTGGTGGTGATGATGGTGGTGGTGGTGATGATGGTGGTGGTGGTGATGATGGTGATGGTGGTGGTGATGATGATGATTGATGATGATGGTGGTGGTGATGGTGGTGATGGTGATGATGATGGTGGTAATGATGGTGATGATGGTGATGGTGATGATGGTGATAGTGATGACAGTGGTGATGGTGATGATTATGGTGATGATGGTGATGGTGATGATAGTGAAGGTGGTGGTGGCGATGATGATGGTGATGATGATGGTGATGGTGATGATGATGATGGTGATGATGGTGGTGGTGGTGATGATGATGGTGATGGTACTGGTGATGATTGTGATGATGATGGTGATGATGATGGTGGTGGTGGTGATGATGGTGATGGTGATGATGATGATGGTGATGATGGTGATGATGGTGGTGATGATCATGGTAATGCGGATGATTCTGATGATGATGGTGATGGTGATGAGGATGATGGTGATGATGATGGTGATAATGATGATGATGGTGGTGGTGATGATGGTGATGGTGATGACAATGGTGATGATGGTGGTGGCAGTGATGATGGTGGTAATGATGATGATGGTGATGGTGATGATGATAGTGGTAATGATGGTGATGATGGTGATGATGGTGATGATGATGATGGTGGTGATGATGATGGTGGTGGTGATGCTGGTGATGGTGGTGATGTGATGGTGGTGATGATGGTGATGGTGATGGTGGTGGTGATGATGGTAATGATGATGATGGTAGTGATGGTGGTGATGATGGTGATGGTGATGATGATGGTGGTAATGATGGTGATGATGGTGATGGTGATGATGATGGTGGTGATGATTGTGATGATGATGATGGTGATGACGGTGATGATGGTGGTGGTGATGATCATGGTAATGCAGATGATGGTGATGATGATGGTGATGATGGTGGTGGTGATGATGATGGTGATGGTGATGAGGATGATGGTGATAATTGTGATGGTGCTGATGGTGGTGGTATTGCTGGTGATGTAGCTTTCTTGAGTGCTTATCCTGTGCCAGGAACTGTGCTAAGTATTTTACATGCATTTTTTCCTCTCAATCTCCCCAACAATCCAATGAGAGCTGTGCTATTATTATCTCCATTTAACGAAAAGAAAATGAGACATCAAGAGTTAGGGTACTTGCCCCAGGCCTCAGAAATACTGGGTTTTGAAGAGGCCTCTGACCTCAAGCCTGCCTGCCTCCAGAACTCCAGCTCACAACCATTAGGTTCTGCTGCAAGGAATTTTGAAGAGAAAATGCTTTAACTCAGGTGCATTCGCCACATTGTCAATGGCCAGCATCCATCCACCCCTGTCACCAGGTCCTGTGCCTGGCACTTCTGCATATCCCCTCAGTTAATCCTCAAAACCATTGCCCATGGAGGTAGTTATTATTCTCCCCACTAGACATGACACTGTCAGAGAAATTAAGAAACATGTCCCTAAAACGCAGCTATCAGGCAGCAGAGTCAAGAAATGAGCCGGCAGCTCTAACTCCAAAGCTGGCATCCTTCCCACCACGTCCATGTTGACAACAGCAACAGGAACCCCCAGCAATGAGCTCTGTCCTCTAACACCTTATCTCACCTCTCCCAACAGGCTCAAGAGGAAGGTACTGTAATTTTCGCTATTTACAGATGAGGAAACTGAGGTTCTTGCCACTCAGGAAATGCCTCAGGAAATAGCATAGCAGCTAAGGAACTACTATGTCCTCTGCCACAGACATGGGACATGGCATCACAGAGCACATGAAGGGATGGTAAGCTGTCCCTGGAGTTTACCTTCTGGGTTTGGTTTTTGAGATATTCTGAACATCTTCTCCCAGTCCCATCACCTATCAACTCTTGGGGCTAGTGGAGGTCTGGAAGTAGGGTGAAATGCTTCTCATTACCCCCATGCTATCATCCCCATTGTCACTTATTAAGCATTTGCTAAGTGTGGACGTGGCAAGGGGATCATTGTGGAAGTTGTTGGCGCCCCCCCAGACCCTCACACCTCAAACCCAATGTCTTCTTCAAGCCTCACAATAACCCTACAAGGTAGGTTCTATCATTTCACTCCATTGAGAGAGAGGAACCTTGGGAAATAATATATTATGCCCACTGCAAAGGCAAGGAAAACCGATGATTATCCCTTTTCTGGGGCTGGTGCATCCACTGCTCAACTCCTGCGAGTTGTGAGTGTGCTGCTGACAGCTCAGAGCTGCCCCTCCTCTAGGGAAGTGCCCTCAGCCCAAAGGGAGCTGCTCTTTCCACAAAGACATGCAGTCCCTACCCAACCCTTAGAGCCAAGCACTGACAAGGAGGAGCACCAGAGGGCAAGCTTCTCCCCTCTGCTGAGACTGTGTTGTAATTCTTGTTCCAGGGCTCCCACAGGGTCAAGCTGAGGTCTGGCCTCCTCCTTCTCAGCTACTTCCCTTGCCTCCTCTTGCCTTCCTCCCTCCCTCACTCCCTGAGAGCACCTCCTCAATAAACCCTGTCCATCCAACCCCAGTCTCAGGCTCTGCTTCCAGGGGCGAGGGAAGATGGCTGTGTGAGCCATGCCCCTTGCCCTCAGGGATCTTGCAGGAGAGCTGGGAGACAGGCCACAGGCAAACAACAGCATCATCCACAACACAGGAGGCACAGGTGGAGAGGACAGGGGTTGAGAAGATGGAAGACATCATTGAAGTTGGGAAGATGGAGGAAGGTTTCATGGAAGAAGGGGGCTTTATGGGTGATGGACCAGTAGGACTGGGTAGGAGACAAGCTTTCAAGGCAGGGAGAAAGGTCCGAGATGGGTAGGAACCTTTGCCCCCATCCCTCCTATTTCCTCTCGTCCAGGGTCCGTGACCAGGGAAACCATCCTAGGGCAGTGGAGGTGGCGGCTCTGTTCAGATGATTATAATAATGAGTCTAGCATCTGAGAGCATCAGGTCTTCCCTAGAGGGCCATGCTGGCTGACTCTGAGGCCAGGAGGGGGTCACTCCACTGTCAAGCTTCTCTTGAGAGGCCGGGGCTTGCTCCACCTGAAAAGACCACCTCCATTTGAAGGGACAGAACGCTCCACATACCTGCCGGACCGTGGGCCTAGGGGCTTGTTCACAAGGATTCAGTGATGTAGTAGGCAGCTCCTAGAGCCCCCAGAGCCACAGCCACAGTTCCGAGGGCTTGGAGGACACGTGTTACGATGACTGGAGGGTTTTCTTGAAGGTTTTCTGTAGAACAAAGCAAAAGTGAGGGTGGTGGGAAGCTGGGCTTCGGTGCCTCTCTACGAGCAGGAGAAAGTGGAAGTTAAGTGGCCCTCTCAGGATTGCAGGAATACCCATCTTCCCCCTCTCCAAACTCCTTTTAAGAGAACATTTAATTCTTTCCACCCTTCCAAAAAGTCCCTGCTGAAAGACCCCTGAGGATCGGAGGGTGAGCTGGCCTGGGATGCCAGCTGCCCTGAACACTCAGAGGGAGACCAGGTTAGGAAGGTGGTCAAGTCTGCTGTGAGCCAGGCCTTGTGCTAAACACCTCACACCCAGTGTCTTCTTCAAGCCTCACAACAACCCTATGAGGTAGGTTCTATCACTTGACTCCATTGAGAGAAAGGAACCTTGGGAAATAATATATTACACCCACACAAAGGCAAGGAAAACAGATGATTAAGGCAATAATTGTGAGGAGGGCATTCAAAAAATGCAATACCCATTTTGATAAAAATCCTACAAAAATAAGGATTCTTGTTTAATGTGAATGTGGATTGAAAGCCAAAAGCCAACATTACACTCTGTTGAGAAAAGCATGCGGGTGCTAAAAGTGGAACAGCATTAGAACTGTATGTCTTGTCCTGACCAGACATGGTCCCTGTCCCTCCCTGCTCTCTTTCCTGATTCTGAGCCTTGTGTTTGCCTTTTCCTGCACCTAGATTGCTCCCGCTTTTCATCTTAAGCCAGAGAGGGCTTCAAGATCCTTTTGGACTCGGCTCACATGCTGCTGACAGGAACCTTTCAGAGGTTCCTGTTGGAGCCTGTTCCTGTTGGAATCTTTCAGAGGTTCCTGTTGGAGCCTCTCCCAGAGGACACACGGCTCTTTGCATCTTGCATCTTGGTTTCTAAATGCACGGGTCTTAGCTCTCCATGCAGACTGCAACGATTTTAGGGGTAAAGTTCCCCGTTCTGGTTTCCCTCACAGTCCCCCATGTCTTCTGCATAGTAAGTTTCGCTCAATAACACTTGCTGGTTTTAAAACGATAAGAACCCATGGCACAATTTGGCCATGGATGGATGGAAGTACTAAGTGTATGGGCGGGGTGTGGCTAACGGTGGCAGGTAGACCTTTCCTTGACGGGGCTTACTGGGTGGCGGAGTATTTCTGGCTCCAAGTATGTGTTCCCCACACGCCCCGGTATCTATTTGCTTCTCTCCATATGTAGGAGAGATGGAGTTTTTCAGCTCCAGAAAGGAGAGGGGATTGGGTAGGGAAGAGGATGGGAAGTGGAACAGGACGAGGATGGGGGTTGGGGGGCTCAGCTCCTGGGGTGGGGGTATGAAGTCGCCAAGTGGAAGGGCCTCTATCATTGAGATCTGTGAGGCCCTCAGGTGGTACAGATGGCAACCCTTCTCCCGGCCCATGCATGTAACCTAGCAGCGCCAAAGACGGGAACATCTCCAGTCTGTTCCCGGCAGGGATAGCGTCTTCCTATGAGGGCAGTGGCAGCCATGACACTGCGCCTGGTGGCTTTGTGGGAAGAGGAAGGAAGGATAGATACTATGGGTGATGTCATGGGGGCTGCCACCAACAGACCAGCCTGGGGGCACACGTCGCCTATGGGGACCCCCAGAAAGAGCTCAGCACACTCTGAAGGGGGCTGAGGTCTTGCTATTGTGTGGAGGAGGCATATGAGTTACAAGTAGTTTTTTATCATTAAATTCTAGGTGACATTCATAGGCAGATCAGGAACCTAAGGCCCCAGCCTAAGACACAGGCCACTGAGGGGCCACGGAGGTGCACGGCCAAACAGCGTTTAAACACAAAGGCCCTGAGCGACTCGGAATCTCTGAAGGGCTGAGAGGGAGAGTGTTCTGAGGAGGGGAGGGCATCTCTGGAGAAAATAAAAAGGAAGCCACTGAGGAGGCAAATCCCAGTGAGGAAGAAAACTGGCACCTCTCTGTACGGGTGGAGAGGGTACCCAGTGGGAAGGGCTGGTCAGAAAGGGCCCTGCCTGCCAACGTCCAGGAAGTGGCCAAAGGAAAGAGGAAAAGGCTTTCCTTTGGCCTGGGATTCCCAAGAGGAATGATACATGATTGCTAATAAGGTCTGGGGGCAGAGCCTGGCCCTGGGAACTGTGTGCCCTGAGGTTCCAGCCCCTCACGCTTGGAACCTGTAGAAGGTGAGCAGGTTGGGGAGTCCTCTCCCTGGCGCCATCTGCCAGTCCCGAGGCAGAAGGACATCGAAGATGCGGCTATGGCACAGCCCCAGACGACGCCAGCAAGCAGAGCTGCAGGGGCAAGTGGCACAGGAGCAGGAATGTGGGCCGGCGCGAGTCAGAGGCCCTGTGGGGACAGAAGGAAAGAGGTAAGGGAGGTACCTGCTCTGGGAGGTGGGGGCAGGGGAGCCTGGAACACAGTCTGAGAAGGCCCCCCAAAACAGTAGCAGCTGCAGGATTACCAGGGCAGATCCTGGATTTTTTTCCAGGCATCACTGAGGATTTGGGAATGAACTACCCAAGGAAGGCAGTTCTCCCACAAAATGTTCTCTAACCAAACAGAAGTGAAGACTGACTGCATGAGAAAATGGCTGGTTTATACTGGTGCTACCTGGGAGTAGCAACAACAATGATGATGATGGAGGTGGTGCTGGTGGTGTCATGGCTTGCGCCTTCAGGATGCTTTGGACTTAGCGTGCCCATCTCATTTAATTTCACAGTAATCCTGTAAAGGGGATACTGTTGCTCTTGTTTTACAAATAAGGAAACTGAGGCTCAGATAATTTAAGGGATGTGCCCTTCTGGGGAGTAGATTGCAGAAGTTGGCTTTCTCAACTCAGGCTTTCTCACGTTTAATTCAGTGAAAATGGAATTTCAGGTGACTGCCCACCCCAGGAGAGGCTGCACTGGGATTCCTGGAATTGGAGCTGCCACGTTCCATTGATCCAGAGCATAGTGATCCATCTGGAAGACAACCACAGCTCCAGTTTCCAGTCCCGATCTTATCTTCTGTTTCTGTCCTCCTCTGGTATGGATCCTAGCAGAATGTAGATGATACCCTCTGTGCTTGGGCAACATAATTTCTGGCTGGATTATTCCCTCCTGTTTCCTATCTGTAGCCCTGTGGCTTCTTGACAGAGCTACAGATTCTTCTGACCCTAAGCTGCGTGAAACAGAGAGTCAACCTGGCAGACCCGGTACACTTTCTGCTTAGACTTGCCCATGACACATACTTTCCTGGAATGAGGAGAGGGGATTCTAAAGGCAAGACTTGTCTCTTTTTTTAGTTACAGAAAAGTTTTTAAATTGAGACATCATTCCCAGGCAATAAAGTTCACCCTTTTAGAGCGCTCAGTGGTTTTTAGTATATTCACAAAGTTTTGTGGCCGTCACCACTAATTTCAGAACATCTTCATTTCCCCAAAAAGAAACCCTATCTCCATGAGCAGTTACCCCCCATTCTCCAGTTCCCCCAGTTCTTGGCAATACATTTGCTTATTCTGAACATTTCATGTAAATAGAATCATTCGATGTGTGGGTTTTTGGGAGACTGGACTCTTTCACTTAGCCAAATGTCTATAAGGTTCATCCATGTTGTCCCATGTATCAGGATGTCATCTCTTTTTATTGTCAAATAGTATTTCACCATATTCATTGTACTGTGGTATTTCATACCACGTTTTGTTTATCCATTCATCAGCTGATGGACATTTGGGTTGTTCCCACTTTTTGGCTATTACAAATGTTGCTGCTTTGAGCATTTGTGTACAAGTTTTGGTGTGCTTCTAATATGCTTAATAATATGCTTCGAATTCTCTTGGATATATACCAAGAAGTGGGATTGCTGGGTCATAAGGTAACTTCATGTTCCTCTGAGGAACCACCAGACTGTTTCCACAGCAGCTGCACCATTTTACATTCCCACCTACAGTGTATGAGGATTCCAGCTTCTCTACATCCTCACCAACACTTGTTATTGTCCATCCTTCTGATTATACCCATCCTAGTGGAAGACTGGCATTTTCTTGAGCTACAATATTTCTGTACACAAAAAGGCTTGGATTTTAGAAAATGGCATGCTTTACACGCAGGCCCTTATCCTGCATCTCCAATATTCCTTTCTACTGCAGAGAATTCCTTTGGAAGAAGTATAGGGTGTCCGCTGCAACCACTGGTGAGCCACCACCGTTTCTTGCTCTCTTGCTTTGCCTCTTCAATGGGCCAAATTCCTCTCGGAGTGTGAGTCACATGTGATCATTAAAAGACTTGGGAATGGAAAGTTTTGCTTTCTACTAGTTCTGAAGACCATAACCCGGAAATGTTTCTCTCAGTGGCTGATGATCACAGTCTTTACAACATACAGTATGGCGCTCAAAATCATTATCATATGTCAAGAAGGGATTGATTCCTGGCCATGGAAGGATCATTGGCGTGGCATGCCTTGCAGTCAGCACTCTCATCTCCATCTCTTCTTTCTTTTATGCTCACACAATCCCGGGGGGTAAACTGTGGCCCAGGGAGTGTGGCCTGTTCGAGGCTGTGGAGCCATGGGCACTGGCTCACAGCAGATCCAGGAGCTGCTCGGACAAAGATGTTCTTCCTCTTGTGGAGACTCCTAGGCCTCTTGGAATGGAAAGGTCAGTGCTGTGGTTTAGAATGAGGGTTCTGGAGTCAGAATAGAGCGGGTTTCCCTTCTCAGGGCTACCAGCCTCTGCTCAGGAGCAACTTGTTTGACTCCTATGAGCCTCAGTTTCCCCATCTATAAAATGGAGATGATATGGAAGAACTTTTATAGGATTGTCACATGTGAAAATTAAGACACTTGAGCTGAATGCTAGGTACACAGTAAATGCTTAGTGATAATGTTAGTTTGCTATCACCATTATTGTTAGCAGTATAAACCAGCCCACCTCCGGAACTCCACTTGAATTCCCTCTACACAAGCCAGTGCTTATTCAGACACTGTTTGGCTCCCAAGAAGATGGGGAACCACTTTTCCTGACAGCCATTCCATTTTCAGACAGAGCTAATTGTTGGGAAGTTTTTTATGTTGAGCCAAAGTCTGTCTGTCGCTAATGTCTTCCATGGGTAAGGTTGTTAATTTAGCAAATAAAAATACAGGATGTCCACACAATATTTGGGAAACACATACTAAAAATATTATTTGTTGTTTACTAAAATTAAAATTTAACTAAGAGTCTTGTATTTTGTCTGGCTATCCTATCCCTGGGCCTGTATGTGTCTGTTTTCACACTGCTGATAAAGACATGTCTGAGACTGGGCAATTTACAAAGGAATGAGGTTTGTTGGACTTACAGTTCCACGTGACTGGGGAGGCCTCATAATCATGGTGGAAGGTGAAAGGCACATCTCACGTGGCGGCAGACAAGAGAAGAGAGTTTGTGCAGGGAAACTCCCTTTTTAAAAACCATTAGATCTCATGAGATTTATTCAGTATCACGAGAACACCACGGAAAAGACCTGCCCCCATGATTCAATCACTTCCCACTGGGTCCTTCCCACAACACTGGGAATTCAAGATGAGATCTGGGTGGGGACACAGCCAAACCATATCAGGCCCTTAGACTTCTCAGGACAATAAGGAACAAGTCTATTCACATCTTCCACCTGACAGACAGACATCCTCCAACTCCTTCAATCGACTGTCATACACTAAATGGCCTCTCTGATCCCTCTCATCCTCCATCAACCTGGACTATCTTCCTTGGACTAGTTTGTCAGGCATCTTTTATAGCCCAAAATGATAGCTTGATGAGGACAGAATAAAGCAGGATCATCACCTCCCTTATTCCAAACCATATGCTTCTATTAATGCATCCTTGGTTTTTATTTTTTAGCAGTTGCATGGCACTGCTGATTCCTAGTGAGCAAGTATTACTATAGAACCAAGTTAAATGTTTATACGTATGTGTGGTTGTCTTCAATGAGACTCAGGATGATGAGAAATAACAAAACCCAGGAACCCTGGTCTCTTGGGTAGAAACAAAAACAAAAACCTTCACACTCTACAACACAGCTCCAGGATACACTTTAACCATGCATCACTATCCTACAAGAACCAGCCTCTGGGATGACCCGGAACTCCATCAGCAGGAAGGCTGAAACTGCTGAAGCTAGAAGACAGCCCACCTGCTTTCCTGGATTGAGGGGCTGCCTTCATGTTAGCATCTGGAGATAACAGGCAGCGAGAGGAGCGGCGGATTTCGGGTGCTGGAAGGGCTTGGGATGCTGGCTGCTGGGAGTTGGTTTCAAGGCTGGACTGCTGTGGTGTGGATTCAGGGCTAGGCTGCTGTGGTGTGGATTCAGGACTAGGCTCCTGTGGTGTGGATTCAGGACTAGGCTGCTGAGAGGTGGAATTGGAGCTAGCATGCTGGGGGGTGGAGTCTCGGTGGCGTTTGGCCTCTGACCTTTTCTTCTTGACCTTCTTCATAGTGGATCCTCCCAACCTAAGCGTGGAGCTACATGGAGCTGCGTAATCTCCTGGCTCCCTCCTGGAGGGGCCGTTCGCCCTCTGCCCTAGAGGCCTGACTCTGGCCTCCAACTGGACCCAGGCCCTACAGAGAACAGTGACCCACACCTCCTGTGAGGTCATAAAAGCCAGGGTGGCTCCTATGGTAGGGCCGCAGGGACAGTCTTCTCCACAGACACCAGCCTGGCGTTCTCCCTTAGCCCAGGCCCTGGTCCTCACAGACCTGGTGACGCCTGGCCACGGGGCCCAAGAGAGCCAGATCCTCATGCTTCTGCGAACAGAGCGCAGCCTTCAGTCACCTCTCTGCTGGCGTGTTCCTGGGTCCATGTGAGCCACCTGTTTTGCTCTAAGATACCCTGGATGTGACGCTCAGCTCTGTCACTGGCTTCCACATACCCCCTATTCCTAGACCTCAAAAATCCATGCTCCCCACGCATTCATCTTCATGTCAGCTTCCTGAAGATTTGGAGCTTCCTCGAAGGCTTTACCTCCCATGGCCCAGAGCCTGCTACCATCTCAGAGTAGCTTCCCCCTTCCCGCAAAGCCTGCCCTCCCCCACTGTGGGAGGGGAGTTTGGGGGTTGATCTGACTTTTATAAGAACCTTTGCATTTGGCAAATAATTTTCCTTGAGAACATAACAGCTGTTCAGAAAACGAACATTTGTCTCAAACTCACGACGATGGCAACCACAGACCATCCCCCAAATCCCAACTGGTTGGGTTAAGCAGGTGACTGAATCTTTCTCTCAATTAATTAATGTGTTCATTAAATGTGATTTTTATTTTAGGATGGAAGAAGGAAAAGTATTTTTAAAAGACAGTCTAAAGCTTACACTGTGACTGCAACAGAAAATGTGTTCACCTCAGGAGACACTTCTGTCGCGAGTGCATCTCAGGTGGGTGAGTGTGGGACCGGCAAGTGCAGGAGCTCCTGCCCCAGGGAAGGTTTAGAGCAGACCCGGGCAGGTAAAAAGGGCTTCGGGCCACATGAAGTCAAACCTCAACCTGGTTTAAATCAGTGTTTTTCAACCTCAGCCCTGTTGACATTTTTGGGCTGAGTAATTCTTTGTTGTGGGGGATCATCCTGTGTATTGTAGGAAGTTTATCAGATCCCTGGTCTTTATCCAGTCTTTACTCCCCCCTACCCCAGGACAACCCAAAATGTCTCCAGATACTCCTAAATGTCCCCTAGAGATGGGTGGTGGGGGTGTGTGTGTCAAAATTGCCACTGGTTGTGCCACGTTGGTGTAAATGAATCAGATAGGAGCAGACACATATAGGTGGAACTTCCTGGTAGCAATGAAAGAAATATTCCATTTTACCAGAAGAAGCCAAACAGGGCACAGAGAATGGGTCTTTGTCTTCCAGTAGAAAGATGGAGGAAGCACAGAGGGCAGGCCTAGGGAGGAGTAGGGAATTTCCCTGTGGCAGCAGTAAAAATATGGTGTGAATTCTTTAGTAAGAGTGGTCCCAAGAAGCAGAGAGAGGGCACCTGTGGAAAGAGGTTGTCCCAGAAGAATGAGGAAGAATGGCGCCTCAATAGCTCTTTGCTAGAACATCTTCCCTGCACCTGCTCCCTTCTTCTTCTTCTTCTTTTTTTTGTTTTTGTTTTTGTTTTTGTTTTCAGACAGAGTCTCACTCTGTCTCCAGGAGTGCAGTGGCCCAGTTTTGGCTCACTGCAACCTCCACATCCCGGGTTCAACTGATTCTCCTGCCTCAGCCTCCTGAGTAGCTTACAGGCATGTTCCAGCCTCCTGAGTAGACTACAGACATGCGTCACCATGCCTGGCTAATTTGTATCATTTTAGTAGAGACAGGGTTTGCTCTGTAGGCCAGGCTGGTCTCGAACTCCTGACTTTAAGTGATCTGCCTGCCTTGGCCTCCCTGTGTTGGGATTACAGACATGAGCCACTGCGCTTGGCCCCACTGCCTTCTGCTTGAGCACCTGTTCCTAGTCAGGAAACCTGGCTCTTCCATAATACAGTCACAGCCCACTGCCCAGGACTTACCAGCCACCACACTACCTGGGTCCACCTCTAGCCAACTGTGAACACCAGCGGTCTCATGAACAGGTTGAACATTCCTGCATTTTCAGAAGCCCTTCTCCTCTATCACCCCTCTCTGTACATCTACCAAAACATTTTCTGGTCAAGCCCTATCTCAAGTGGATCCATCTTTTCATAAAGCCTTTCTAAGCTGCACACGGTGGCTCATGCCTGTAATCCCAGCACTTTGAGAAGCTGAGACAGGATCACCTGAGGTCAGGAATTTGAGACCGGCCTGGCCAACATGGAGAAATCCTATCTCTACGAAAAATACAAAAACATTAGCCGGGCATGGTGGCACATGCCTGTGGTCTCAGCTACTCAGGAGGCTAAGGCAGGAGGATTGCTTGAACCCGGGAGGTGGAGGTTGCAGTGAGTGGAGATCGTGCCACTGCCCTCCAGCCTGGGCAACAGAGCAAGACTCCATCTAAAAAAAAAAATAAAAAATAAAAACTATCTTGAGATCTGCAACTGGAAGCCATCCTTCCCTCGCTGCTGAGCTCCAGGGCACCTCTTTGTATGAGACTGGTCATATTCTGAACGGCATTAGAATTATTTCTGTCTTTGTCTTCCCTCTCATTCCCCAACCCCAGATGGTAGAAACCTCAGAAGGCCATAGTCTAGAGTAGGGGCTCAATGCAAGCTGCAGGAACTGAATGAAGGTGAAGGTAGGAGGGCAGAGAAAGCAGGAAGCTGCGATGGGGGCAGGTGGGCATGGGTGGTGGGGGATCAGGCACCTCCAAGGCTTCATCACCAAGGGGTTGCTTTCAAAAATGGACTGGGACTTCTCTGGCCTCAGCTGCGGATCACCGTTGGACTAGTCCACGGGCAAGGGAGTTTCCTAACCAGGCGTGCCAGTCATGTGAAAATGCAGACTAGGTAGGGGAAGGGGATTGGAAATTAGACAGCCAGAATAAGGTCTTGAGGGGCTGAAAATTTCCTCCCAGAAGGTCTCTGATGGTTCTGGTGTCCTGGGCACCCAGAATAAGTGTGTCACCATTTGTCCTGAAGCTGACTTCTCTGAGCTGGATGGCACCCTGGACATCAACCGGCCCTTCACCCTCACCTCACACAGGAGGGACACTGGCCCATAGACAGGATGCCCGCTCTGGTCACCAGCTGGAGGGTGGCAGACCTTGGGTACCTAAGCTTTGGACTCTGCCACACAGAGCACTTCCTCAGTCCCTCCTGCCGCCCCTGGCAGGGTGGAGCTGGCAGGTAGGTACGGGACTTGGAGCTCCCTCAAGAGCTCACTGCCCAGGGACCTTAGACTGGCAAATTAATCTCATGGGCCACAGGCCTGGCTCAGTAACACGAAGGGTCTCAAGGGTTGTGAAGGAGAATCCTGAAGTCAACCAGCTAGCGAGTCTGGTGGAGTTCCACCTGAGAGGGTTGCCATGAGGATCCAGGTGAAAAGTCCTTAGAACAGCGCCTGACTCACAAGAGGCAAGCTTTTAGTGTTACTATTCTTCCCTGGAGAAGATTAAGAAGCAAGCAAGGGAGAGGACAATGTGGAGAGGAGGGAGTGGGGGCCCCGTTTCTCCAAAATCCCACATCAATACCTTACAAAAGCGTGACCCCAAGTCATGGGAACCAATGCCCCAAGTTGTAGGTGGGGCCAGTGACTGGGGGTCGTAACCCTCCGAATTCGAACACGTCTGACGCTGAGATTGTCCCAGTGAGCACACCGGGAGGAACTCTAGCTCCTCTCCACCCAAAACAGTACCCAAAACTCCTAGAGGCGCCAGGAGAGAGGCCGTGATTCCAGGGCTTTGTCGTCTACCCCGCGGGGCGGCAGGGTCGGGGTCCAGGGCTGCCTGTTTGAGCGTTCTCCGCCCCGGGGATCCCCCCTCCCCGCGCCGACCCCTCACCATCGGTCTGCGTCTCCCGATCCACCAGGGAGACCCTGTGCGCTTGGCTGCCGGCGCGCTGGATGTCCAGGGTGCCCTCGGGGCGGCC